GGGGGGGGGGGGGGGGGGGGGGCGAAGCGAGTATTGTCGTCTGTTTCGCCTAATTATCATTGCCCGCAAAAGGGAGATGGAGGAGTGCAAAGGGGTGGGGGTGGAATAATACCCTGTCCCGTCGCAGTCTGTCTGCCTGATGCTGCCCGGCCCCCCTCACCCTTCTCTGTACGTTATCTTATCACCTTTAAGGTGACCCTTCCGCCCCGCCGCCGTCGCGGCTGACAGTTGAGTCAATGCACTGCACAGCAACTGCAAAAAAACGTCACGCGAGCGCATTTGCATTGGAACAACTCTGCTGTGTGCAAGTCATCTCGGACGGCAAGTCGGTCCAGCCAGGCCGTATATATACAGTTTGTGCAAGTCACGCCCCCCGTCTCTGTTGCGGCCGGGCCGCCGGGCCGGGGAGGCGAGGTCAGCTCCGGGTGGTGCGAACGAACGAGTGCGTTATCTCGATGCGATGACAGGGTGATTTTGTTGCTCGTATTTTGTTTTCAGAATAATGCAGTTAACGGATTTTGCCATTCGGCGCCCTACGAGGAGAGTATACATACATTTTACTGGCAAGGCTGGCAAGTGTCACCTTCCCATTCCCGCCTCCCCTGCTCTCCCCTCCATCCGGCCGGCGCCCGCGTCTTCAAAGCAAATACCCTGTACTGTGCGAATGTGGAGAAGAAGTCGAAACCGTCCAAGGTTACGGGCGTACGCGTACGTGGTCGGGCGACCGGCGGGACGGGGCGTGGGGGCCGCGCGGGTCTGGCCTAACAAACCGATATTACGTACAGTACGGCAGGAGGCAGGACTTACGACGGCCCCAGCCCAGCGTGGCCGGCACCGGCCCATATGCCGGCCAGAGCACCACTATTACCTCCTCCTCATCATTTTGCACACACTTCGTCCAGTTGTTGCTGGTGCTGCTCGGCCTGAGCGAGCCAGCGAGCAGCGAGCACCCGCCGCAGCAGCCTGTGCCGAGGAAAGGGTTCAAGTAGTGCCGACTACGGCAGGCTAGCTAACTGTTTTTCTAAATGACTGCTTCTTTTGCAGCCCTTATTGTAATCAATCAGCCACTCGAGTACGCATCGTGCACGTGTGCCCATCGCCGAGAGGGCTTTATAACGGAAAGGGTAGACACAAAAAAATAGCCGGGGAAGTTACACTCGGTTGTACTCGGTCGAAGTGACAAGTGACAGGTAGCAACAGCGCGATCCGCGGCTGCGCCGGGTTGCGGGAAAGGAAGGAAAGGGGGAAGGGGGGGGGGGGTCAATGTACAATACCCGGTGAGCATGCACTCGACAGCCCCTTGAAAGTGCATGTCAATACCCGGTGAGCATGCACTCGACAGCCCGCCCAGTTACAGCAATCACCGCAATAACCTACGATACGATACGCGCTTCCGCAACAACAGCTCCCCTTTTGCCTTGCTTTGACGGTTTCGTCTGCTAAAATGTTTTGGCCCGAACAACAACAATAACATCAACAACAACGCCCGGTCAAATACAACGCAGAGACTTATCAGGGAGAACGCGACCCGCCCAAATGATGAGACTCTCGGACTCCATGCTGGTGCCCCTGCCTTGCCGCAAGGTCATGGTCTCGCGTCTCCCTGCCCGAATAACGCCCAGTCATCCAGCCCGCCCGTCTCACACACTTTGTCGTCTCACCCTCTCTCTCTCTTCGCTCGTTTTAGCCCAGATTCTGCGTGTTTCTTGGTCATGTAACGTTAGCATGCAGCAGCGGGCCGGGGAGGGGGGAAGTCATTCAATAAAAGGCTTCTTTACTGGTTAGAAAAACAAAGGTGAGACTTTTGCGTCTTCACACAGAGTGGTCTAATGAATCTAAGCCTTTACTGCGCCCGTAGGAAATACTACCGTACGCACAGCGCTTCAAAGACGCCCTGTGCCTTTGTAAGGGCTCTTAGACGTTTAGCACCTCCAAAAATGCCCCCCCCCCCTTCCCCGATGCCTGTTTCCGCTCCCGTAAGGCAAAAATTCCGACGAATCCGCCTATGTGTTGCGGGCTGCCTATCAGGTGGTGTGGAAGATGCAGCCCGCAACACATTCTACATTCGTGATAATCTTCCGCGCATTTTCTTTGCATCTACCATTCCAGTGGAAGTAGTTAAAATAACCAATCTGAGGGTGATTCGGCCCCTGGTCTGAGCCTAGCTCTGCACGCAGTGCCACGCCGCGTCTGCCGCGCACCGCTGACCGCGACCGGCTCCAGCCAGCTCCACCGCAATCCTCAACAAGAAGGTTTGCTATAGTGTTGGCAGTTAGCAGTATTTGTATAGGACTTTCGAGCAACTCGCAACTCTTTCAGATTAAAGTGCGTGCCAAAATTCCGCACCTAAAAGAGTGTGTGACCCAAGTGTCATGCACATAAAAGTGTGACAGCCATGGTATGCACAGGGAAAGTGGGTGACGAGCAGTAAAACTTCTGACTGTAGAGCACAGAGGGCTAGGTGGCTATACAAACAAACCGCATTTACGACTCAGCCCAACGAAAGAAACTATAGAGTCTATATGGGGCAACTACCGACCGGTGGAGAGTATCAATGGGCACGGTTGAGCGGGGGAAGGAAGGGGGGGGGAGGGTCTTCCCTAGCTGACGCCTGATTCGCCTGTTCAACGCAGCAGCGGTCACTACTTCTCCATTCCAACGTCTCGCGCCACGGCGGCCGTCTCCTCTCCAGCAGTTTGTCCAGCGGCACTGGTTCGGGACCGCCCGGCCCGGTCTTAACGGGGGGTCAATGAACTACTCCTCCGGGGCGTCGAGGATGGGCTCGCTCGAGGGGCGTGGCGGGGCGTGGCGGGGCGTGGCGCGCCGGCCCGCCGGCCGGCCAGTGTGCTGGTCACCTACCTTGACGTTCGCGGCGGCCCTGCTCGTTGAGATCCTTCCGCCTCAGCCCTCGGACCCCGACTGCTTCTCTAGCCTCTCTTGACTCACTGACTGACTTGGAGAGCCGGCTCGCGCCCCGACCGCCCGGCCCGGCCGGCGCGCCCGGCTGCCTGCCTGCCCGGTCCGACCGGCCGCGCCGGCCCGCCCCGCCGCGCCTCTCTGGAGGCACCTGAAGCGCGCGGCCGTGGAGCTCGCCGTGCCCTGGCCGTGCCCTCCTGGCCGTGCCCCTCGAGGGGCAGCGGGGCGTGTCGGGACGGGGCGGGGGGCCGCCGGCCCGGTATGTGTGTGCGTGCGGTAGCGTGTTCCATAAAGTCACGCAGGCCCTACGTCCGAGCGCGCGCGCCTGCGGAGTGTGTAGCATGCTCGGTGTAACGCCGTGTTACAGGGAATGCGACCTTTTATTTTAGCTGTTTCAAAATTGGAATTGTGCGGCGGAATTTGGCATCTATTTTTGTAGGCCAATAATCGACCACAATTGTCTGAATTGTAGCAGAATGACACAAACTTGCAGTGAAGACGAGGTAGTTTTATGGAAGGGGCACTTGAGTAGAGAATGACTCTGATTGCACGGGATGATACGATACAGGTGGCGATCACACGTTGTGGGGTATCGACGGAGCCGGAGATTAGCTGTGTTTGGGGTCCGCTAGATGGTATTGGTGGCCTGGCAAGAGGAGGCCGGCTTTTTAACCTCCTAGACCTCCAACCTCCTAACGTGTGCCCACGTGTGACGGTTTTTGGAGGCACTTTTCCCTGTCTTGTGCGAGTGAGAGCAACGGAACGGCCTGTGGAGCAGAGGAGGCAGCCCGACACTACCACCGCCCGTAGCGCCGCGCGCCCAGGCCGGCCCGCCGCGCGCGCCCGTGCGTTGGGTTGCATACCTCGAGGCGCGAGTACAGACACTCCCGAAGACCAGCCAGCCTGAGGCGTCCGGGAGGGTTGCCCGTGGAATTATCCAGGAAGTGCGACCGCCATTTGCCGTTACCGAACTGCCAAGTTTAGCCACTGCACCCTCATAGCGCCTGGTGGGTAGGCAAAATCTTGCGTGCAGTGCATGCATGCCCTGCGGGGTGGCCTACCTCGAGTCTCGCAGGCGCCGAGCTCTGACGTAATTTGCTGAATGAGTCTGACGAGGAAAACGGACGTACTTTCTAGACGATCCATATGCGCGCGATCGGAGTTAGTCTCGGAGCCTTGGGATGCTATGGTTACCGACGATAGGCAGCCCGCTTACTCACATGCATACCAGTACAGTGCACCCTTGCGCTCCTACGGGGCGACCGCCCACACGAGAGCGAAAGAGCGGCTGTCTCGTCTCACTAACAGCTCCGCTTCGATTTCAATTTATTTTCATGTTTCAGGTCCAAAATTACCATAGACATTGGGGACACCATGAGGGTTGAGGATGAGGACACCATGGAACCATGATTTACTCACATATATATGATTGGTGTAGAAAATGAATTAACAACGACGTGTTTGACGAATCAAAGTATTATTCATGATTATTGTACTTGATAGTGCATGTCAATGTATTATTCATGATTATCGTACTTGAAAGTGCATGTCAATGCATTACTCATGATTGTTGAACTTGAAAGTGCATGTCAATGCATTACTCATGATTGTTGAACTTGAAAGTGCATGTCAATGCATTACTCATGATTGTTGAACTTGAAAGTGCATGTCAATGCATTACTCATGATTATTGAACTTGAAAGTGCATGTCAATGGAAGTGGACTTGTAGTAGCCCCAGGTGAAGCCTGCTTCGGCGGCTTCGGCGCAAAGCGGACACAGCGCCGCGACGGACTTGGCCACGGAGTGCCTGCAGAACACAATGCGGCGGCCATGGCGCTCGTCTTGGTCCAGCAGCACAGCCACGTGTAGCGTAGGCATCGGGGCGCGGAGTACCAGGTCCTGGCAGTCTGCGCAGACAGGGAGAGCAGTGTCACAAGCTCTGCAGAGAGGCCGGACTACAACAACGCAACGGAGCAAGGCATAGCCGTACCCTGGAGGCCCACATAGTCGGTCAGGGAGTAAGAGGCGGCCCTGGAATCGTCAATCAAGACGACGAGGCAGAGGTTGGGGATGGCGGCGGCGGTCAGACATGCGAGCAGATCAGACGGCCGCGGGTCCCACAAGGGGTTGAGCTTGAGAGAGTAGAGGCTGGGCAGACTGGCGAGCGCCTCCTGCAGGGACCAGCCGTCCCAGGACTTGTTCAAGCTGCAGGACAACTCGAGATGTCTGAGGCTGCCGAGCCCGAGCCCCACGCTCCGCAAGGATCGCAACACCTGATCACTGCAACCCAGGATCTCCAGGCGTTCCAGAGGGCACCGACACGACTCAAACAGCGCGTCCAACTCGGCCTGCGATCGCAAAAAAGAGGGAAGAAGAAGAAAACGGGTCTAGGAAAGCAGCACATAGCAGTTGAGTGCACTCCTTGATCTACTGGACCTCGCGCACCTTATCGTCCGTCTGCAGGATCGTGAGATGGTTCAGGCCGCTCATGCGGTCCAGCACCGCACCCACACCCCCGTCCGCCGCGATGGTCAGCCGCTCGAGTCCGCTGGCGCAGGAGTCGACGAGTGGCAACAGCCCCGGCGAGCACAGCAGCACGTGGCGCAGCTGCGGCCTGCAGTGTTGGAGCAAGGAGATGGAGGTTCAGTTAAAACAACACCCCACTGGGCCTAGTGGGGGCGGGTCCGGGGAGAGGCGGACGGCGCCGGTTTTTATGATCGGAAACAAACACTTCCCGGGTCCGGCGCAGAAACCGCTAAGATGTACGGGATCGACGATTCCTACAAATTTCTGAGTACGGTTCACTGAAACGAACTTGTTTTTTTGTAGTACTATATATGGGCTGGAATACTCCAATTACCTGTGCGCTTCCAAAAGGGAGCGGAGGGCTTCGAGCACGGCCGAGTCGTGTTCGGACTCACGTTCGCCGTCCTCAAACGTCACGGTCGTCAGCCTGGGCAGTACCAAATCCTGCGGACAAAAAAAAGGGGGTGGGACTGGGACACTGACACGACGCGGCCAACGACCAAGCGCCGGCGCCGCGCTGCGGGTCGCTTATGCGCACGAGCATGCAGGCGCGAGTTATGAGGGAGGAGGGATGGAATCAGGTGCATCGCCGTCGTGGAAGAGGCCGCGCGCCAGGGTTCTAGAGCTGGCATCCGCCACCGTGGAGAGAGGGCCACACCGGAAACCCAAGGGTGTGTGAATCGCCACCGTGAAGAGAGGGCCACACCGGAAACCCAAGGGTGTGTGAATGTACACACTTGTAGGTGTGTGAACGCCATTCGTGGACTAGGAGGCACAGGTGTGTGAATTCCATAGGAGAATTCACACCTTTACTTCCGCAAGTGTACGGATGGGCATTCACACACTTATAACTGTGTAACTTTCACATACTTGCGAAGTGCACTCGCGAGGGTTGCGCAATGGAATACCTATTCCAGTGAACTAACTAGGATTGGAATGACCCCTTTCCAAACTCGCTAATCCCTCGGCTTTGTACTTCATTGCGGAGCGCGCACTCACCTCCTGCGGCCATCTGAAGGTACATGATGGATCTGAGTAGACCTCCAGACACACCCGCAGCTTCACGAGCCAGGGGGCATGCGGTAAGCTGTCCAGGAAAACCCCGAGCCCGCTTTTTAGCCCTGAAATCTCCAGGTGCTTCAGCTGGAATCGAGTCCCCAACTCTTTGACGACGGCGGCGCAGGACTGTGCGTCGTTGACCTCCAGTGTCAACAACCTCGGCCTCCTAGGAGAGCAATCAAATTGCAATTATCGGCACGACTGTCACCCACACTGTCGATGCTGTAGTGCACCCAGAGAAGTGGAGAGCTCTAGCAACCATCGAATGGTTACTTAGGGGCAACTATATAATATGGTTACAAAAGTAACAATCATACAGTTAGCAGAACTATGTTTTAGTTCTCACGGACAATTTATTGTAGCCGCAACTATCACTTTATGACTGTCCCTTAAGTAACCGTACGCTGGTTGCTTCAGCTTTCCATTTTTCTGGGTGTGGAGGCGTAGCCCCCTGCATGGCCCGCACACCTCTTCAAGCTCTTGAAATGGGCAATGTATTGGCGTGGAGGACTCCACCCCCGAACAATAAACTTCAGCCCCTGGACACGCGGCGCCAGCTGCATCAGTGCAACGAGTCTTCTGATGTCCCTCATGTACAGGTCCTTCCACTCCCACAGCGACACGTGTGTCCTGGCCAGCGCGCGCAACCGGAGGCTCGCCTGGCCAGCGGCGAGCAGGCTCTTGGCCGACAGGTAGGAAAGCACCTGCAGCAGAGGCACGTCGGGCAGCGACAGGAGAGTCTGCGACAGAGTCGAGTGAACAGTCTTAAACAGCAGCGCACTGAATGCACACCGGCAGGACGTTTAGTGCCTAGAAAGAAACATTTTTCTCACTGTGGTGGCATTGAACGGGCTATAGTCGAGAGGTCGACAACTCGGCTTTATTACTGTACCCAGGAGTACAGTCAGAGTACACGCAGTGTCAGGGTAACCCGACGTTTGAATATTCGCGGGTCTAAGAAAGCTAACAAGCGACGAACGCGTGCGTCAGCACGGAGTACAGCCGGAGTACCGGGTGATTCAGAGAAGACTCAGGTGCGGGCGTTTGTGAATAGTAATTAGAATTTGTTATCATCTGTCACGGTTTTAATCGCTCCCTCGATCTGAATAACAAAACCGAAAGGGGGGGAAGGGGTTGGGGGAGTGATATCTGCCCAGGGCTAGTGCGTACTCCGGCAAGGCAAGTTCTGTTTTGTTTTAGTAGTACAAGGCGCGTGGACTGTGTGCCTGTAG